TAAACTTAAATAAAATAGACCTTTCACTCTCAAATAGATAAACCCAAATGACCAAAATACCCCTGATTTGTGTATTCTAACAATTCTCATATGCAAAAGTTTTTGGTAATTTCATTTGTTAAAATTTAATGATGTATTTACTAGCCCTTAGACTCATTTATACAGAACCAAGTGGTGTTTCTACTTAGGAAGTAGATGTAATAAGGTCTATAAATATATACAAATAAAGAGGTCAACATTCTCATGTAATAAGGAGGTTGGATCCAAGCCTCAATGAACCCACCACAATGGTTGTAGAACAAAAAAGTGCAACACAAGTCTATCAGCATAAAGACAAAGGCTGTACTGTTTTTATGACAATAAACATAAAGACTATCGCAGCGAAAAAGAATGGCAACCTCCCTGTGGTTTAGCCCTCCACAATACACCCCTAGCAAAGACCATATGCTAGCAAATTGTTATATTTCAGGGTGCACTTCAGTAAGATGTTTTCTTGGTGATGAATGAGCCTACAAAGTAAGGAAAAAGAAGATAAAACAACCTATGAATTAGCACCAATACTCCCTAGGAATCAACTCCTAGAGGAACTATTAGGAATCAATTCCTTATCCTAGCATATCCAGCCTTCCTTTTTTCATGTTTGCAAACAAATGCTATAAACCACATGATCTATATACCCTCCCATCGCATATTTGCAGTTTATTATTTATATTAACTTATTTATGAAAATGCACCGATATCTTAACATTTTTATGGTCAACTAGTCAGTACAGGCGCACTTACTAGTCACTGCATCAATTAGAAGGACCAAAACAACCAGCTATAACCTCTCCTTACTACATTGATAAACATTGATAATACTGCTACTCTTTATGATGTCTCAATTTGGAGTTCTCACACATCCACCCAAGTACCACCTAAAAAGCCCCTTCCACCACAATATGCAACATCATATATCCCCCATATACTTCTTGTTCGAATCTAATAACAAACTATGTTGTTAACTTACATTTTTATATTTTAAGCAAAAAATGTGAATGGAATTAGACATATGGCACAAGAACCTACTAATGATTTCAGAAGCAGAAACATGTCTTTCACCTGTTTAAGATATCTTGTGCAATTCAGTTACTCCCATTTGTCAGTGATGCAGCCATCTCCTAATACCCATAGAATGGTGATCAAAATTCCTTTTCTAGTTTTACCTTTAGTTTGTTAAAATGTACTCTCTAACAATTGTTTTTTTATATTTTCCCCACTATATGTTTTCAAGACTCAAAACGTGGGTTTTTTTATCAGCAACCAAAAGGGGAAAAAAGCATATAAGAATTAATGTGGAAGGCAGATAGAGCTGCTGTGGTGTGGTCCATCTGGGAGGAGAGGAATGCAAGAATATTTAATGAGAAGCTCAGGTCAAAAGAGGACTTGGTGGAATTAATAAAAATTAAAGTGGCTCGTTGGATAAAAACCCTTGACATCCTCCAATGTTTTACAGCGACTGATATAATAAAGGTTTGGGAACAAGGTAGCACACTTCAAAACAAAAGGAAAGAGAGATGATAGAATGGAAGGCACCAGTAAAGTGCTGGCTATGTATTGGTGTGTTTATGGGAAACCCGGGGATGGCAGGTATTGGTGTGTTTAGAGACTCCTCAAGTAAAGTGCTGGCTATGTATTCAGGACCCATAGGAGAAGGGGACTCTTTAAAGGCTGAACTGATGGCACTGTTACATGGCTTAAAATTTTCTAAGCAATCCAATTTAAACCTGGAAGTTGAAGGAGACTCAAAAGTGGTTATCTCTTGGATCACTTCTAGTCAAAATGTACCTTGGGTTTACAGACTTGCCTTAAGGGAGATGGTCTGAAAGGGGACCTGAATGCTTCCTTTAATTGGATTTGCAGGACAGCTAATGGGATGGCTGGCACTTTGGCTAAGCAAGGGGTATTGAGGCAGCAGTTATTCTGGGCTCTATTGTAAATTAGTTATATGGACATCTGTATTTTCGGGTGAAAGGATACCCAAGCTGTTGTAACTTCTACCTCCCATTAATAAAACTAATCATTTTTTGCTGATCAAAGAAACAAGTGCATAATGATGAACCTTGCAATATTATGTCATTAGCTGAAAGTTATTTAGTTAGCAGAAAAATGAAAGCTATTTAAGGTGAAGAACTGTGACACTGTAGTGGGCTGTTTATAAATATGTTTTGAAACAACGTTTGAACAGGCACTACAAAATGATCTTTGTTTCAATGGTAGATGAATGATGAAAGCCTTCATAAAACCAATCAAAGTAACTACTTCTAAAAGAACACAGTTATTCCATTCTACCATGTCCATCAATCCAATCACCTCTCCAGTAAGCTATTAAGTACCCTGTTCTTCTCTTGTTCTGAGAAAAAAAAATGTGGCACAGTATAAGTGTATAACCATAAGTAATGTCTGGTGCTTGCCATTTGTGTTTTTCCCCCAAGTCCATGTATCTGAAAATGGAAATTTTCAATAGCAACAGGAGGTAGTTTATTTTTTAACAGCTAAAGCTGCACAAATACGTTTTCTTTTTATTTGGTAATCTGAGTCTCCAGGCCTTCTTGGTTATAAACTCTAAAAAATGAATTCCGATCGGTAATTCAGTTATTCATGGTTAACTAATTTCAAAGGGTAAGCCACTGATAACTGGTAATGACTTAAACAACCATTCTGTTCGTTTAAGTTGCCTCAAAAAGTAACGTAGTAGGTAAAAGACGGCATACCTGCTGTTGATAACATCAATCTCGTGAAGGGTGACGCAGTGAACGACCTCTTTTCTCTTCTGCAACTCTCCATCAGGGCACTGCACGAACTTAGTCTGTGGGCCCATGGCATCGTAATCCCTCGACCTCGCAAATGATCTTCCAAGTTTCGTAATCTTCCCAGATGCCTTGTCAATTGCTATCACATCTCCACTCTGGACTTTCTCCTTACCCAGAGCTTCAATCATCTTTGCCCCCAAATCATACACAGTCTCCATCTCGGTGGTCTTCAGGGTCAACTTCCCAGACTTAGAGGCAGCACCGGAAACAGCAGGGCGGTCAATCTGGACTTCGACGACCTCCCCTTCGATCACCTCGGTCTCCTCCTTGATTCGGACGCCGATTGCCTTGCGGAAAGCTTGCATGAGAGCTTCAGTTTTGGACATCTCGAGGGAGAAGAGCTCGCTACCGGCCAACATTGCAAAGGGAGTTTCTTGGCCAAGAGACTTGGCCATGCCCATAGCAATGGCTGTCTTGCCAGTGCCCGGCTGGCCGGCAAGGAGGACAGCTCGGCCAGCAATTTTGCCCTCTTTAATCATCTGGAGGATGACACCGGCGGCCTTTCGGGCAGATGTTTGGCCCACCATGCCCTCCGACACGTCCCGAGGCTCTAGGGCTGAGTCAAGGCCGAGTCCTCGGATGTGAGAATGTGCACCTATCCGCTCGATTCGAGTTAGGTCTCGAGTCTCTGATAGCTTCAGCTCCACCATTGTTGTTGTCGTAGGCTCGTAGCTGTTTTGAGCCGCTTTGAGAAAGAGGGAGGGAGGAAAGAGGAGGAAAGGAGGGAATGAGACTCTCAGAGTGAAAGTAGCAGGCGTTTTATAAGGTGGGAGGCGGTAAAGTCGAAGGGCCGAGAGAGAAAGAGAGGCTGCGATAGTACTGTAGTAGGGCTGGCTACTTGGCTAGAAACGGAATCCCTATGTCCGAATCCGAATTCGATCTGAATTGGATAAATTATGATTTAACTTTCCCAATCCAATATGTGACCGGATCTCCTGCCGACGAGAATTCTGCCCACGTCTACCCACAATATATTATCCCGTAAATTGAGAACAGAATGATATTCTTTATGTGTAACTGCGATGCGATGGTATGTAAATAACGTGGGCAGAATTTGTGTGGGTAGAAAATTGGACTCATCCAATATGCCATGGTACCTGAAACGCTTTGACCAATCACAACCTTCCCTGAATTTGGATGAAAACCTACTGATTGATTACCTATGATGCCAGTTAATTGGTTGTAAGTTTTTTCTGTTTCATATGTTTCCGGCATCATAGTTTTAAGTTTTTGGATTTTCTTTTAACAGAATTACACTGAGATCTGTTACCTACAAATAGGAGTGTTGTGAGTTGAGTGGAGGATTAGGGGTGAATAAATGGGTAGGTTATGAAACCGAATAGATTAACCTTGAATTGGATTTGAACCAATCTTACCCAATTTATTATAGGATAAGGTCCATTTCCAAATTGTTGGAATTAACCCCACCAAGCCAATTCTAGAGTTTAGGGGTTTACCCTATTCAAACTGATTTTGAGAACCGACCTTAGTTAGCTTTGATGGAACCAGTCTTGGAATCAAAGTTGCATTGAAATAGATCCCCAAATATTTTGAAGATGTAAAAATTTGAACCCAAGCACTCATGGTTACAATGGCCATGGTCTTACTTGACCATTGAGTCACTTAAGAGATTTGATTCTCTTTTTTCATTTTAATACTTGAATGTATATAATAAGTAATGTAAAGGGTAATGTTTATAAAATTTAAATTATAATGATAAGTTTTGAATCATATATTATGATAATCTATATATTAAATTACTCAATTTAATTAATAAATATAATATAAGTTTTCAACTATATATTATAATTATTAAATAGGGAAAATCTATGATGTAGGAAAAACATGATATCAAAAGAGTTTTGAAAAATCAAAACCCACCCATGACACTCTTAACTGTAAATGAATAAAACATTACTATAATTCGTCACTAGGCACGGCTCCCATACTCAGTACCGGGCCACTAATATGAACTATTTTCAATTTTCAAATTTTTAAATCATTTCTATTAAAAAATTAGGTTAGGTTTTTCATTTGTTGTTATGATAGATTTTTATTTGATTTAAAAGACTTACCATATTTTATCTGGTATATGACCCCATTATGGGGCAGCCACACATATGTATCATTTTGGTTTTTACTCTTTTTTGTTTTTTGTAATAATGTTATTTTATTTGAATTTCACTATTTGTCTAATAATTGTATTTATATTTAAAATTCAAATAAATCTAAATATTGAAATTGTAAACTATAGACTGAAGTGGTTGTGAATAACCACTTCTACATTTTCTGCATTTTTTTAGAATGAACGAGAATAGGATCTTCCCACTTCTCATGTATTTCTAAAGAACTATTATTGAATGTATGACACTATCTTAGAGTGCCACATGCCTGAATTCAAAAATTTAAATGTGGTTAAAAACAACTTATGCATATGAACAGGGGGTTCTCTTTGAAAATATGAACAACCAACTCCTGAGATGCTTTTTCCATAAAGATGAAATTGCCACATGTTTGAACGATGAGGGGATATATATATATATATATGAATCATAATATTCTATCGTTGGGACAAATCGGGACCACATAGGCACACATGATTGGGACATCACCAGTAGCGACTGGTATAAGAATCCCGCTCTTCTCTCTCCTCGATCCATTCTTCTTCAATCCGAGAGTCTTCTCTTGGCATTTTGCAGCGATCATATTCTTACACCAGCAATGGTGATTGGGTTAGACTAAGAAACTAACTTCGTCTTTAAATGTCCAAATTTAATTATTCTCCATCTGTTTCAATTCTTACCGATGTCGGACGGCTACATTAGTGGCAGTGCCTCATCTGTTCCCTTTTCTTGTTTTCAGAAGCGTTCAGGAGGTTCTTCCCACTGTTCTCGATTCTACTTCCTTCCCACCTTCTTTGTTCGATGGAACAACGAGGTCTCTATATCTTTTAACATATTTTATGTTATAAAGGTCAAGTTCGAAGGATTAAATTAATTAATATGTTTAGTTTTTTAACTTGTTCGCACTTAAATATTTTTTTATCATTTTATTAAGGTTGTATATTCAATAAATTTTAAGTTATTGTTGAAATTAATACATATAGTTTTCAGTTTTGGGTCTACGGTTTTGTCCTCATTAATTATCGGTTCGGGATTGGATCTAGCAATGCCTGACCCATATCAAACCCATTGGCAGCCTTGTGTTGAGTAGCCTAACTTGTAGTGGATTTACCACTTGAAGCTTTAGAAGGTACAAATCACCAATTTATCCTAAACAATGAAAAGAAAGAGGAAATCCACTAAGCATGTGGAAAATAGAATTTATAAAAAAGAAAAAAGAAACAGCTAACATCATCACATAATTAGACACTTACTTGGCCGAAGTCAACATTCACAGAAGCGTTGATAAAGGTGGATACTAAGTTTTGCCTTGCTGAATCAACACTTGCACCACCACTTGTCCAGCGCTCAAGCAAACGTACCTAATAGAGTCAAATAAAACGAACACATAATGGAATATATATATATATATAGGAAAAGCAATGCATTTGATACAAGATTTAGAATGAGGAAATTTAGGGCCTCTAAAATAAAATTTCCTTACAAACAATGAAGCACTTTGATACCTTTTTGAGAGGGATCTGTATGCATGTGTGTAAGAGGGATAGAGAGAGAATGGGTTGTTCCAATAAAACATCATTAAGTAATAACACCAACTAATCATCTCAAGTATTGGGCCATCGGTCACCTCTTTATTGTCCCTCCCCCTAGATGTTCTATGCACAATGCCCCATAAGATTCCAAACCTGCCAACGGTTTTGAATGTTAAAAGTAATCTACACACGTGATTGACATATAGATACAAGACGATGAGTACAATCCTAGTTGCAACATAGGAACAAGAGAGAAGGGTAATTTTTTCATTGCACGTCCTGGGTAAACTTTCCTGCATGCGAAACAAAGGGAATCAAGGACAACAGAAAATTAGCAAAATTCATTTACTTGCTTCCCAATGTATACATAGGCACTAGAAATCCATTTTAGGAAAAAAAATATATCACTTAAGGGTGAAAGTGAGGCACATTAGTTACCTACTTTTCCCAGGATGTTCAATATGTGAGGCTAAGGCTCATTATCGTGCCAATTCGAATACTTGAATCGGTTGTACAAGTTCCAATGCCTGAAGATGTCCTGGATTAGTTAAGAAAACAAAATGAAGTTAGCAATGATATATAACAACGATTTCGAAATGTAAACATTTAAAACATTTTAGCGTGCAGGTAGAATGTAGGCATACAAGACCACAATTGACCGTGCCAACTCCTAATAATGTGCTTGCTGCAATGACAAAAAGACACGATTGTCATTGCCTAGGAAGTATATATCTCACTTGTGCGAGTGCAGAATCAACATCCAACCGTAGAACCATACCCTACAAGGCTACAACAACCAAAGTTTCAACATCGGCAAGGCATTCGAATGCTAAAAACCAAACAAAAATGAGATCCCACTTGCTGCAGCACCGGTCTTCCCATGACCCATATTACTGAATTGGGTCACTGCATGTTTTTCACTTTCTTGAACCAACTCTCACCCGAAACCGATTGTGTTCTATTAAGCATATACAATTTTTTCATAGTTCTCGTGTATCTTTTAACAAATTTTATGTTATATATGCCAAGTTCGATGGATTAAATTGATTAATATGTTATAGTTTTTTTTAACATGTTCGCGTTTGATGTTTTTTATCATTTTATTAAGGTTATATATTCAAAGTTCGATTTTTAAATAAATAAATTCATGTAATGTACAGTTTTGGGTCTATGATTTTATCCTCATTCCTCATTAATAATCGGTCCGGGATTGGATCTAACTATGCCTGACCCGAACCGGCCACCACTTTTGAACCTTTAGAAGGAACAAATCATCAACCTAAGCACGTTGAAAACAAAATTGATAAAAAAGACCTAAAAACTAACATCACCACATAATTAGAACAGTTACCTGGCCGAAATCAGCCTCCACAGAAGCATTGACAAAGGTGGCTCCTAACTTCTGCGTTGCTGAATCAATACTCGCACCAACACTTGTGTCCGGCGATCGAGCCAATGCACGTAATAGAATCAAACAAAAAGAACACATAATGGAACCGTATATCTTTTTTTTTCACCTTCAAAATAGCTCAATTACATAAATTGCACATCGAATCAAATGACATTCAATACAAAAAGCAATGCAGTTGATACAAGATTTAGAACCAAGGAATTTAGGGCCTCGCCTCTAATACTTTTTTCCTACAAACAGTGAGGCTCTTCGATACCTTTTTAAAAATGATTTGTGTGCATGTGCGTGTATTAGGGATAGAGAGAGAATGGATTGCACCGAATGCACAAGACCTCGAGCAATTCGCACCTAATCATATTACCAAAGTAAATTAGCACACTCAGAGTAGCACGGGAAAAAGCCGATGAGGAGGAGAAATGAGAATCTTAAACAAGAGAGTAGGGGTAGTTTAAGACCTATTATTAGTACACCTACTGTTAACGGATGCTAACATTATGAGTATTGTTAGAAACAATATGAGTGATGATTTAAGACAATAGTAAAATAATAAGAATACAATTTGTAAATTAGCTAAATAATAGTTTAAGAAATTTTTTCTGTACTTTATTGTGAATTGGGTCGAATTGAAGTATTAGGCCCAAGCTTGGTCCAATTTTTCTCGAACTTGATACAGGCCTGAGTCAGACTGCGCTTGCACAGAAAAACTTAGGCCCATACCTAAAAATTTGCAGGCTAAGTCGGGCCGAGCCAACTGTTGAATTGGTTTAATTGATTTACAACCATGAGA